GCGCTGTCCGGTGCGGCAGCAGTGGAGACCTCGCACGTAAGTCCCTCTTGGTAGTGCCCCGCCCGCAGGTCTGACTCAGACAGCACTAAGCCTCGCGCCAGCGCGTCCCCCAGCGGCGCAAACTCTCGACCCCCATCCGCCTCGTCCTCCGCCGCCTCCTGCGGCATGCCCTGCGCCGCCGCCGCCGCCGCCGCCGCGGCCCGCTCGGGCTGGCAGGCGCGGTACCGCAGCGACAGGCCCGCCACGGGCAGCGCCTTCGTCGCAAACTGCAGCTCCATCTGCACCAGCGCCCGCGCGCCGGCGGCGCCGGCGGCGCCGCCCGCTGCGCCGTCCAAGGAAGCCGCGGCCTCGGGGAATTCGACGCACCCAGACCTGGCTGCGCCGTCCTTGGTACCAACAACGACAACACCGTCAAGCAGCAGCCAGCAGCGCTCGCATGCAAGCTCGAACCGCACGCCCCTCGGCCCCCCATCCGCGCCCGCCCGGCCCCCGAGCAGCGCGCCCGCGTCGAGCCAGCCGCGCGCGGAGCCGAGCGCCTCGAGCGCCGCCGCGCCGGCGGCGTCGCCCATCAGGGCACGCTGGAGGCGGTAGGGCTGGCCGTCAAAATCGAGGTGCGGCAGGCCGCCCGCGGCGGCAAACGGCGCGCCCAGCGCGAGGGAGGGCAGGAGGACCGTGTGCCTGTCCTGGTCGCGCGCAGAGTACGACGCGGCGAGGCCGGGGCTGCCGGGCAGGGCGAGCGGCGGGGGCTGCAAAGCCGCAGGCGGCGCTGCGGCGGCAGGGCCGCCCTTGTCCGCGGGCGCGCCGGCCGCGCTGCTGGCTGGGGCTGGGGCTGGGGCCTCGCCGGTGCGCTGGGGTGGGGGCGGCTGCTCTGTGGCGGCCTCAGGTGCCGGCCACCGCCATTGGGGGTCCTCCTGGAACGGCTGCGGCTCCTCTTGCTGCTGCGGCTGCGGCGTCTCCTCCTCCTGCTGCTGCAACTCCTCTTGCTGCTGCTGCTGCTGCTGCTGCTGCTGCTGCTGCTGCTGCTGCTGCTCCTCCTGCTCCTGCTGCTCTTGCTGCACTTGGTGCCTGCCGCCCCTCTGATTGTGCTCAGACCACCACTGACGGTCATGCGCCGCCGCTGGGGGCGCCGCGGCCGCCTCCTGCTGCAGTCGCCGTCCCCGGCCCCGTCGCCGCCGCACCGCCTGTTGCTGCTGCTGCTGCTGCTGGGCCGCAGGCGCGGCCGCCACTTCCACAACGCCCGCCACCGCCCCCTCCGCGGCCGCGGCTGCACCGCGCGTGAGCAGCTCAAGCGCTGCGCCCGCGGCCGCGGGACGGTGGCCGAGCGACAGCATCTGGGGCAGCGGAACGAAGGCGGTCGCGGCGGGCGTGCGCCACGTGATGTTGAAGCGCGAGTCTGTTGAGGCGTCCTGTTTCCTGAAAATCATGGCTGTCAGGGTGTAGTTGCCTGGCCAGGTGAGTTTTGGAAGGGGCACCGTTTGGGTGGTTGCAGGGAGGCAGGCAGGATCTTTCGAGGCGGCGGCAGTAGATGCAGGGTGGCAGGTCGAGGGCGGAAAAGTGCTTTGTCTATGATAGCTGGAAAGGGCCCCAGGATCAGGGGACGCGCGGGCAGACAGAGGCAAACGTGAACAGGTGGTCAGGGGCTCAGGCGAGGCGTCGCTCTCAGTTGCCGCTCGCCGCGCCCGCCCGCCAGTGATCCCCCCTCCCATTGCGCCCGGCGTTGCTGGTTCGATGCACTCGCCCACCTGGCCCGCGGAACGCCACGCGTGTGTCCCAGCTGCCAGCGGGCTGCCCGCCCTGCCCCTTCGCAGCATCGTCCACCAAAAGCACCCGTCTGCCGCCCAGCCACAGCGCAAACGGGTCGGCGGACTCCACCCTGATCACAAACCCCCCGCCCGCCGCGGCCACGGGCAGCATGCCGCTCAGCGCGGCCGTGAGCACGGTGTCGCCGGTCGCCGCGAACGCCCACTCTGATACATCGGGGCGCGGCGTCGCGCGGTGCAGCACGGGCTGCAGGACCGCGGCGTTGGTGGCGCCCCACAGGTTGAGGTACCAGCTGGCGGCGAGGCCGGGGGAGACCACCGTCACGGGGGGATCTGGGCGTTGTGAGGCTCCATCCCAGGCAAAGTCGCCTGTGGTGCGCCCCGCACCGCCGCTGCTGCTGCTGCTGCTGCTGCTGCTGCTGCTGCTGCTGCCAGGGAATATGGGGAGCTCCCCGAGCTCCCCCTCCTTGGCCGCAGCCACCGCAGCCACCAGCACCAGCGGCGCCGCGGGCGGCGGCGGCGCGCGGCGCGCGGGCGCCGCCGCGCCGCGGCCGGCGGGGAACGCGGAG